TTGATTGATTGATTGATTGATTGATTGATTGATTGATTGATTGATTGATTGATTGATTGATTGATTGATTGATTGATTGATTGATTGATTGATTGATTAGTTTAACGTCCTGTCTAAGTCTAAGACTATATAGGACAAGAGCAGTGAGGCTACTCTAGTAATTTACAAGTTTTTTCTGTGTAAGGGAATAGTATATATAGGTTTGTAGACATACAGTGAGAGCCTGTGCTCTAGTTATAAACAAAGGAAATTAGTTGTCTGTTGTTTGCTGTAGGTACCACTTGTGTGTGCCTACTTTAGTTTCCTGAATAAAAGCTAGTGTAGCTTGGATTCCCCTGTTTGTGTCTAGGAGAAGAGGCATTGTTAGCCTTGTCTCCTGTAGGCTGCTCTTTATTTAGTGTCGCGTCTTAATAGATAGCCTGAAGAGCAAGCTGTATTCCTGCTTCCTTTAAGGGTTTGATTGTGTTGTTACGTTGAGGCATTGTAGGTAGAGTGAAGTTTGGTGTGGTCTTGGCAAAAGTGAGCCACTCGCTTGTGTGAGCGACTCGCTTGTGGAGTACGTTACTTACATAGATAACTAGCTTAAAGAATTTTCAAGCTAAGAGGGTGTGTTAGATATTAGGTTACTAAGGAAAGGTTAGCAGGGCTAGATCTGTACAGAGACATTACTTAGAGGTCTTAGCTAAGTTTACTAAGCAAGGCAGGGGCCTACAGACTAAGCCTAATAATTAGCAACATGCTAGATTAAGGTCGCCAAGCATGTAAAAGAGGGGTAGCTAAGTAATTTAGGACTACTAAGACAATGCCTTAGCTAATAATTAACAGAAAGGCAGGTTAAGAGTACATAAGATTAGAGGAGAGACAGGAAATAGAGAGGACAGAGAATACACACAATTTTTACCACCCACAATCTCGTCAAGTTTATACTCTGACAACAGTACGAGAATCTGACAGCTATAGATAGTGTAGTGAGACTGGGCATAACGCGCGAACGTGTAAGAAAGAGGTAGAAGTAGTTTCTAAATAATATTATAGGCTGTACTGCATTTTGCAGCGCTAATTTAGGTTATTTTAGCCCATACTAGGGTGGAGTTTGGTGGGGGCTTAGCAAAAGTAATTCTCTCGCCCGTTGATTCTTTCGCCCGTGGGGTACGTTACTACTAAATACAAGGCTAACGTAGGCTAATGCGGGCCATAATAGGGTGGCAGATTGATGTGGTCTTGGCAGAGTGATCGGCTTGCCCGTGTGATCGGCTCGCCCGTGAGGTACAATACCTTCTCTTAACTTTCGCACTTTTGCAATATGTGGCGTGCCTGTCAGCACGACGCATTTCCTCTAGCCTTGCAATAAGCTAAACGAGCTGAAGGCAAAAAAAAGAAGGGGTGAACATGCGCGATCAATCTGCACAAAAGATCGACTTTGCAGTCTCATACAATTCGTTGCGAGAATGTTAACATTCGTGGACATGAGTTCTGTGCTAAATTGAGTAGGCATCGTTGACTTGCCAATACTAAAGATCCTTTCTTTGGGCGTCCGTGGTTGCGGGATGTCTACATTTAACCAGACTGAACTTTGATTTACAACTCTGGTATTCAGGCTGCTCCAGCTTTTCGCCCTTGATCTGAATGATGTGAAAAGGGGACGAACCAATGTGGTAGCGGTGAAAGAGAGTGCACGGGCTTGTAGACAGCGGCAATCATGAGCTAGCTGCATCTTAGGATGCTTGATTGATCGGAAATATCCCATGCCAAATCCCATGTCATATCCCGTGCTATCTACATTTTTATAACATGTCCGCCGGCTTCAACAGTGCCGAAGTTGCCGATCTTCAAAAGATGATCAATATAAACAAGAGAAATACTTCTTGGCGCAAGCTACGGTGAACGTAAGAATGACAGTGCGAAAGTGCCCATGTGACGTAGCAAACCTACACTGATCATCTCTGGAGACGCTTCGAGCCCGAAGGATTCACCCATGGTACGGGCAAATCAGTGGAAATGGGGAAGGAAACGTAGCAAGAGCTCGCTCGCATGTTGGCTGCGGGTTTCGGAACCCGCACTAAATGAAAGAAGGTGCTCTCACGCGGACAGGACCAAGACACGCAGACGCCCAGGTTTGCTGAATCTTGTATATATCGCCATCCTTGTGTTCAAGCGTCGACACAGCAACGCTTGTCTGCCTAGCAGTTGAGAGGGAAATGGAACAGACACTAAAGCTTGTTCAATATCGTCGGTAGAACTGCGCCAACCAGCGCCATCGTATGTTGATTAATACACGGCCACGACCACTCCCGCGTATACAAATGCCGTCAACCAATATCAACACAACCCTGTGGCCACATTGTGTCGCAACTAGGGAAAGAACAGCGCGGCAGACCGTAACCCCCGTTACACCTACCTTCGCGGCAGTCTCTGAAATAGAATCCGTAATTGTACTCGCAGAAAGGGTGCCGAATGCTTGGGTCGCAGAGGAGACACTGGTAGGATCGCTGAAAATACTCGGCGCGACAGAAGGCTAGCTTTGTCCCAGATTGTCGTGCATCAATAAGACAGTGAGTGTCAACTTGTAAACAATTGCAGAGGTGAGCGCCGAGACTGCAATTTTGCTAGTATGCAGGCACTGCTTGCAGTCGGTAGACGAGCAACGACAAGGCGCGCCCTAATCAACTTACCGTAAACCACGAGAGGTGATGAGAAGTAGTGAGAGGGAAAGGTGGGACCCACTTTCCCACTACGGAATAATGCCGATGGAAACGATCGAAGAGGGAGTCTGTCTGATAATTGCTGGGGAAAGGGGGGAAAATGCAAGACAGTGCTATGTCCCCGAACCGGGACCCTGCTAGCGAGGTAGTCAAGATGAGCTTGTAGAGACTTGAGTGCCCCGAGAAGCATCAGCGTGGTGGCATTTTGGCGACCTGAGCTAAGGTCTTGCGCGTGATAGCAGCAGAAAGCTGGTGTTGTAGAACGGGTAGCCAATCCGCATCGCCTCCAATACTCCTCAAGCAACTAATGTCCTCAAATACCGTCCTCCAGAGTATTGAGGTGGACGCGCACGGTGTGAGAAGTGTAAAGCTGATGGTAGTTTCTGAAAAAATTAAGTTGCGGTTGGTGAACAAATAAACAGTACGCAAACAGCCGCTACATAAGACCGATAGGAACAGCTCTTACTCGCTTTCACCACTTCACAATCGATGCCGCTTGGGGCGCGATATGTGGCACACGCATGGTGAAAATATAAGCAAGAGGTGACGTGACAGCGACCAACTGTTTATTATACACTATGTGAGTGCTCAACCCGCCCATCGCTTCTCAACGGACACGCACGAACCTTCGCATCACACAGATCGAAGACACCGTGCCGTGTACGGAATTTTCTACGACCCATGGTGAAATTAGCTGTCCAAAATGCATGGTGTCAATGACTCACCTTGCTTAGTTTCATCCTAGGATAGGCATTCACCACCACTCCCCCACATCACGAGTGCATGGCAAAGCCTTGCGGCCAGAGAGCACGAGCTCCGGTGAAGGACGATCGAAGTTTAAGACCAGAGAATACGGGCTCTAGCATGGTGCACCATAAAGCACAAGTTCTGGTGCCGAGAGTAGAATGAGCGGCGTCTACCCGACGATGAAGAACACGAGCCTCGAGGCAGACGAACAGACATGCTCAGCTCGCAGGCCGGAGAACACGAGCTGCAACGGCGGCTGTTTACATCAAGGTAGAGCAAAGTGTGATACTTACGTGTGGATCAGATTGATACGTTACCTTTGCGGATCCCGAGCAAGGATTTTGCGGAGCACAGAGCGAGTCACGTCAGAGAAAGCGCACGCTTCCTTCCAACATAGGAGATAAGTGGACGTACCTGAGGATTTGGTAGGTTGATAGCCAGACTGCTGAAGACATTTCCATAAATGCCACCGTCGGTGCTGCTCGGGTCGCCCTGGCCACCACATCGCTGGTCGAGGTTTCTGGGGCAAGGCAAGTTGCAATCCGTCTGTCTACTGGCAGGTGTCGTGGGAGCAGTGTTGCTGCAGTAGCATGATGCCGAGTTTGTCAGTGCGTACAAGAAACCAGCGGCATTGCACTGCGCGAAGCACTTCGTGCCACTGTTCTCGATGACGGGATCCTGAGCATACGAGAATTGCCGCCCGCTCTGGAGGGCGTTGAGGATGAAGACACTAGCGCTGAAACAGCCGCCAGCATAGATGCCGCCAGGCAGCGAAGGTCCAGTGGCGTTGGTGTCCGGCGTTGGGGCAGTCGTATTGGGAGGTGCCGGTGCCGCGGCGTACACTGTGACCAGCTGTGTAAGGTCAGCAGCGGTGTTGATGGCTTCAGTCGTACCACCGCACGCTTCTAGCGCGTTACCAGTGCAAGGAGTAGAGCAAAGGCCTATTCCAGCTTCCAGGCTAGAGTTAAGCGTAGTGTTGGAGGCGTAACAGGTGTCGCCTTGCAGGGCAGCGTATTGTAGGTTCTGTGCCACTGCATTGGTAGAGCAAGCATCAATACCTGTAGAAGCTTGTCCTACATATGTAGCGCTAGCAATGAAGTCACGGCCGAAGAAGCAACCACTGTACTGGTAGCCATTCGGAGCAGGACGTGAGGGTAGAGGTACAGGGCGGGTGGGAGTGACTAGACGCTTGAAAATGCTGTACGCTCCATCTGTTGGATTACCGCATAGAAGAGAGCTATCTCCTTCACATGGCGTGGTGCACTTCGTCGACCCTGAACCAGCAGACGGAGGTATTCCACTGCAATAGCACGAACCACCAGAGACAGAAGAGTAATCCGCGCCCTGGGTCACACAGAGACTAATGCAAGCCTGGGGAGTCATGGCTGCTTGCGCAGCTCCGGGGGCCGCCACCGCTTCGGTGAGAGTGCCGCTGAAGAAGTTATTAGATGAGAAACACCCAAACTCTTGCCAACCGCGGACGTTGGGGTCGTTGGGAGACAAATGCTGGGCGGCATCGTTGATCGCTTTAGCAATGGCCACAGGAGCACTCGTGAGGAGACCAAGATCGCTTGGCTTGAGAATATCAAGAATGGAATCCACGGGCGTGGTGCCTGGGAGGTTGGCACCTGGAGGCGTAGTACCAGGAGCAGTAGTGTCTGGGGGAGTAGTTCCTGGGGGATTGGTGCCTGGAGACGTGGTACCTGGAGACGTGGTGCCTGGAGGGTTTGTACCTGGAGGCGTAGTGTCCGGAGGCGTAGTTCCTGGAGGGTTGGTACTTGGAGGCGTAGTTCCTGGAGGAGTCAAAGGCTCGCCAGTAGCAGG